TTGCAACCCTGCCTGTTAGCAGTTGATATGTCATGAAGCATTTTTAATGATACAATTGAATATAACTGAATTGGTAATGGATTTGAATTTGATATTGATTGATTGATTGATTGCTTGGCCTTGTGTGGGTGGTGTAATTGACTAATTGTTCCTCAAACTTGTCCTTGATCAGTTGTCCAGCTGTATTAATGCCAGCCCAGGATTTTATCGAACCAGGTTCTTTGTCACATGAATTCCAAAAAAAATTCTGTAGTAATTCAGCTGATACAGGTGTGTCCCCAACAGTCACAGGTGCCTCAGTATTCATCGATTTAAAAGAAAATACCTTGGCAGTGTTTTGAACTTTCTGCAGGAGACCTACATTCCTGGAGATTTAACCCGCAGGACTTTCACAATGCCAAACCTTCTTGGAAAGGCCATGTACTGAAGCACCAAATAACAGCTTCCTGGCTCACATCCAATGTGTTAGGCATCAGAATCATTGTGTATTCTGTTGAAAGACTTTAGAAATGTCAGAAGCATTATGTAAATAGTTGTAAAAAAGATAACAGGTACAGGTTGGATTGCGTTGTTTTTGTTCATTGGCAGTGATGCTGCTGGTTCAAAATGGTAATTTTTCAGTACATGTATGTGTAAATTATAGAGTCAAGCAGATGCAGTCTGACCTGCTACTCATACCCTCATGTTGCAATAATGCACTTCAGTAATATTTTTTTTTAAAGCAAGGTCATTCAGGAACAAAGCATGTTTGTGAGTCCACATAGGGCTGCACTGATAGGGCAGACCAAGGACATATGTCGTAATGACTTTGGATGTACTTCATTTGGGGCATACACTATTCGAATACTTGCTCATTTTAATTGGATATTGATTTTAATCTACCGGTATGTTCATGGGCAAACAAGCAAGTTTTGACATGAAACATCATTGCTCCTTACAACAATGCTGTAATCAATCTTCCCACATCTTGACCTACATGTATGATACCCTGCAGGCTATTCATATTCTTGCTGGCCTGTTTCATTTGAACCATCATGACTTTTCTCTGAGTGTTGCCTTATTACATGTTAGTCATGTCATGGAATTCAGGATTGTCCTCTTTTTACCTCTCTACACGTACACCAGGCTGTGTTCGGATTACTTGGCCTGGGACTAGATATTACATGTGACTCTATGGGTAGTGATTGCAGCCACTATCTTGGAGCCATGACAAAAAGATTTATTTGTCACTAACTTCTGGCTTTACTGTCACTTTTTGTCACTTGTTCAAGGCTGAAGATGAGGGTATATTACACGCTTTGTTGAATCCAAAATTTAAAGTTTTATTTCCAAAATCATTTACACTTTTGTGGATATTAGTTTTATAAGAGGTCATACAATCATTACGATGATTATATACAGTCATTACCATGACTATATACAATCATTACCATGACTATATACAATCATTACCACGACTGTATAGTCATTACCATGATTATATACAATCATTACCATGACTATATACAATCATTACCACAACTATATAGTCATTACCATGATTATATACAATCATTACCATGACTATATACAATCATTACCACGACTATATAGTCATTACCATGATTATATACAATCATTACCACGATTAAAGTTTCTAAAGCTGATCCATAATTTATTGTGTAAATATACAGTAAGTTCTGCGGCTTAACCCTCTCAGCATTTTTCTAGAAGGCTGACTCAACCTGTCAAATTGCAACACCCTTTTGCTACTATGTGGGGTACTTGTACTCAACCTGCTAGATTTCAACAGTCCACTTGCTTGAGCAGCACTCAGACCCACAAACTCCAACCATATAGCAAGGACCAGTGTGCTCCAACAGGCAGTAAACTGTTGGGTTTTGGCTGAGTAGGGATGAGGAATGGGAACAGTGTACTCATTCCTTCAAGATCCAACAACTGCAGGGCTTTAAAGAATTGTACTTGGTTTAGGGGAGGACTCAGATTTCTTCGTTTTTATCTTTGACTTCCCTTAAAAAAACCAAGGTCACCAAATACTCTAGAATAAGTTATTCTTCTCCTTAAGTACAGGTACATGACCAAATGACCCCATTCATTTACAGGTACACATATACCAGCAGCACAAACACCCAGCAGCAGGTAATGGGTATTACCAACCATACTCACTCAGTCCAAACCCATCACTGCTACTGCATCTGTACAGTACTCATCCTGTCATAACCCAACACTTTGTGTTGTAAGTTTCATATGTACACAGAACTCAACCCATCAAATGTCAACAAACTCTGTGAGTGTTGTAAATTGGCCGGATAGGGACCGTTAGGGTTCATAAAGTGGTGTTTACAGTATGGAACCGTTTTTCTACCTCACAGGGAGATTTTTTCATCATTATTGAATACCTAGCGTAGTCTTGTTCAATGAGTTGAAGTTTTTGCTGGTTAAATAGATTTGAAAAAATATGCAAAGAGCATATGGGCAAGAGAAAAGAGGAAATGCAATGTTAATTGTATGTACCAGCTCGTTGCCGGGTGGTTTGAAAAATGCAGTGCACACAAACGGGACATTTTCAAGATTTTCAGATTTCAAAATTCTTCAAAAATTCATCATTTCATTTTAATGGACGTTTACACCCACACGAATGACTGTCTGGTGGCTAATCTAATCTGACAGACCACATCTATTGACACCCGAGTATTTAAGCCAGGCCCGCAGCCTTGTAAAAAGAGNTGTTATGTAACTTTCTTTTGTTTACAAACCTGGTACAGTGCACTGCTGACCTCTTTTCAATAGGGGCCAGATTAGCATGCAGGGGTGCTGTGTGGCTCGTGGCTGTGGTGGTGGAGCACTTTTGTCCCCGGTGGTAATCCGCTCAAGCTAAATCCCCCAAACAGTGGTATACTGTTTCAAAACAAGGCTGGATTATCTCCACTATTGAGAGTGAAAAAATGTTGGTAATGCCCAGCAGCTTGGTCATTTATTATGCCTCCAGTCTTTTGTTACAAGGCCCAGTCCCCTTTGTCCAATTTCGGAGACACCGACCACGCAGATAAAGCAAACGTGCCCGGTACCGGAAACCCCGGCGGCAATGGTTAACATGCTCAATGTTACTCCAGCTATCAAAATTGGAAGCCCAGACTGAGTAGGCCCAAAACTTTGAAGCAGGTGACGTGCACTCACAAAGTGCTCTCTGGATCAATGGGGTTGCCTAGTGGTGGACAGTTCAAGAATGGCTCAAAAAAATTGTGAAATTCATGATATTGTTTTTATAAACAGCGATCTCTTTCTCAACCCAAGTTTCCCCTCAAAAAAATGGATGACATCTCGTTTTCTCTAAATTTGACTTATTTCCATCAACTTAGCAATGCCAACTTCATTTTGCTGTTGTGCATGTACATGTATATACATGTACGTGTACAGTGCACATGTACATATTCATGCATGTATGTGTACATGCAATGTGTCAAAACCTAGCCCTGAATCTCAGGCCATGGCTGAAACAGGCTTCCAGAGCTATAGCTAGGTCCACCGTCTGCATGTCTCTGCATATTTTTAATGGAGTGAAAACCTGGACCTGTATGTAGCCCTAGACAACCAATTTGGATGCAGCCTACCGGTAAATTACACCTCATAAGGATTCCAAAATATTAAGTGGCAAATATTTTAACAAGCATGAAATAATGAACAGAGCATGAAGAGTATAAAGTTAGTTTTGATTATCTTATGTCCATGGTCTAGTTTTTGAGCAGAATCACTGGAGCCAGCAATTTCCATTACAGTATATTGTAAACAGGTGTCCAGATTTCAGCACAGCTGTGTATAAGGTACACATTTATGTGTGCTTTAGATCGTACATGTCTGCATGGTGTATTCTGGTTGCGTACGCACACAACATTTGCTGCTGTTTTTTTGCATCTGGTACGGAATGTTAAACAGTAGATATACAGTATTTCTTTTGTGGTACAGTTATAAATTGCTGATTAAAAATTCAACCTGTGTTCACATAATTCATGCGTACAGGTGTTTTAAAGTTAAATTCAGAATTGAGAAGGTACAGTTTGTCATGATGGTCATTCTGTTGATATGGGATACCTGCCTGCTTCCCTTCCCCTGAGAATTTAAGACATACACCTGTACATGTATTTTAACGTTATTAAGAGATGACAGTGTTTTAGTTTTGTTCATTGTTCACTTTATCAGATCTGTTCCTTTACATTGTGTCATGTGTGACCTGTCGCAAAATGAAGGTTACTGCTAGTGTAAGATTTAATTCATCAGAACTGAAGTGTTTCATTTTGTTCAAAGGGCATACATGTTTACTTGTGCATGAATGGACTTGACCTATGGACTACATGTAATTTGACGGGAAACAATGCATGCTGGGAGTCCAGCTTGACAGTATAGATTGAAACAAACTAAAATGAACAGGCAGAATTAGAAGCTATTACTACATTGGTACATGTAGCACCCTTGTTGGCAGGAGGTTGGTGTGTGTTACATGCCCCTTCAACCAATAAGGGGTTGCCTTGTCAAAGTGTACACCTGCTCAAGGATATGGGTGTGAGTGGAGTCAACACAGTTAATGGCATCTCCTGAGATTAGTCTGTGAAGGTCATTCCTTTAAATCAAGCTTGGTTATTTGGGCCTGAGTGATTGCATCATTCAAAGTTTGGTGAAACTGGCATCCCAAATGAGATGTAAAAGTGAGTTTGAATACTTTGTACTCAAGAGTAATAAAAGTTCTACATTGAAAGTTACATATGTCTGGAAGCTTAGCAATCGAAGGGAAATTTGACAAGAAAGGCATATGTTTGCTGCTGACAACTATCTATGTTCAGAGAAACTAACTCCGTGCAGGTCTGTGCTGTTTTACCATCGCTAATGATTGTACAGCATCCTACAGGTACCTAGCTTAATGTAAAGGGTGCAGAAACTTTCATTGGAGTTTACATCACAGGGTTTCTGATATCTACTGAGTCCTGCATTTCTTTTTTCTTTCTTAGAACCCCTAAGAAAGCCTGTTATACTCCCCTCTTGTCTGGATGTGGCTCTAAATGGCTCGATTAGACTGGAATGCCAGTCTAATGCATCCAAGCCACACCCATTCCTGTGGCAAAAAGATGGAGAAGACTTGATCCAGGATGAAAGGTAAACGCTTCTATCATTACACAAAGACAAGAGCTTTCATTTATTTCATTTCAACCATTATTTTCATTACGCCCTGTCCCTTGAACACGAGGAACAACAAATGCATCCCTTGTCTCTAGTTGTTCACTTTTTAACAGTGAAGCAAATTTGTTAAAACATTAACAAAATGATATTGAAACTGTTTTCAAGACCCTGAAATTTTCTCTCTTTCTTGCCTCGATGTGAACTGTGAAGCATGAATGAACCCATATCTCTCTCTGTCCATGTTAAATGTGATTGTAGACTGGTAAGTGATCTTTCACTTGTATATCAAGTTGAAAGCAATGCCAGTGCTGCACACTTGTTGGGGTGTGTTTCTGCCTATGGTAGTTAGTATTGCAGTTTCTAAAAGTCAATCTTAGCCAGTGCTAGGTGCAGCATGGGGTGAAATACAAAAATTATCAAGGGAATGTCCATTACAGAATGGCTTCTGATCATGTGTGGGAGGTGCAAAGTACATGTACTGGCAGTCTTGGGAAAGACACCCGAAGAAATCTCACTTACTTTTCCTTCTCTATTTTCATTTTCTAGGTATACATTACTTCCCGACGGGGTGCTTCAGATCACCCCAGTGATCTGGGAGGATGGTGGTGAGTACCGCTGCATCACTGGTAACCCAGCTACTGCACTGACTACCAGTGAGTCGTCATGGGTGACTGTCATGGAGGAACTCCGGACATCAGATTGTAGCAACGGGACAGTGAGCGAAAGGGAAGGGAGACTCTTACTCCAAGAGCCTGAGGATGTGACGATGATTGCTCCTGTGGATGTGTTGATATTGGAATGCCTTGGTGCGGGGAACTGGGTAGAAATCCAGTGGAGCAGGAATGGTGAGAGGAAAAATGATTGTGGATTGATTGTCTCTAAGATTTCCAAAGTATCCTGAATCAGGGAAATCAATTCAAAACAGGGGCCTTAAATGGCAAAAACAGAATCGGAAAACTCATGAACATAACCTTTCTGGTGGATGTTTGGAAGATTTTTCCTGTCAGTCTTACCTCTGATGACTTCGTGTGACTGTGGTGTTGTAAATCACATGGGGATCAAGAACACTTGGAGTTCATCATTAAATCCTGGGTTCCTTAATTGAATTCTTTATGGAGGATGAATTGAACTGCATGTACTCTCTGCTTTGCAGGGGAGAAAGCTTTGCCACCTGGAAGAAGCCATTTCACTGGTAACAAGAATCTGAAGCTGACCAATCTGACTCCTGATGACAGCGGTGTGTACACCTGTAACGCCTCAGATACTAGGACGGGGGAAGTTGAGAGGGCGAATGCAGTGGTCCAGATTGAAGACGTCTGTAAGTGAAGTCATTGTGAATGAAGGGAGAAAGTGTTTGCTTCCAAACTCAAGTCCACTATCAAGAAGCCTTTTGTGAGTTAAATTTGAATAAATCTGGTACACTGAGTTAAATGCGCGTGAGCATAACAATTTGAATTCTCTGTACTAAAGACACTGTTGCTATACCTCGTGATTGGCGGCTAGCATTTGCTTAGTTACATAAGAGATGCCCTACATTAATACACTGTTTTCAGTGGATAAGAACTGCACAAAAAGAACCAGTCCATTCCAGAGATGGTGGGCGCTTTGAAAAAGCTTGCCCCGAATCAACAGGTATAGCAACAGTGTCTTCAGTCTGGGGAATTCAAATTGTTATGTTTATGCGCAATCAGAAAAGTCAGTGTACTAAATTTTATTCAAATTTAACTTGCAAAAGGTTTATTGACTAATGTGTTAGTCATTACAATATCTGCCGTGACTCAAGCGACATCATAACTTCATGGGCGTCATAGCTCAATGTTCTTGTCACTGGGACTCAGTATTTGTGAAATTTGAATCCAGCCTACATGACTGCAAATGCGAACACTGAGTTGTGATTTACTAACATTTAAATGACAACTATTTCTTATTAGGAAATTTGTCTCATGTAAATAGCAAGGATACAGTAGTCCATTGTCTTAGTGGTGAACTCTGAAAGTTGAAATGTTTTGATTGATTCTTTACCAGTGCCGACTGGTTATAAATTCAACTCATTCATATTTTAATGAATTCAAAGTAAACATAATGTGAAAGCCTTCTCCTCATTTATCATTTCAGTTCCCCCTGAGTTCACTGTCCGTCCGACAAGCGACACAGTTCCTTACTTTTCCACCGCACGTCTTTATTGCAATGCTGATGGAAAACCAAAGCCCCAAATCTCTTGGTATCTGAATGGCGAACCCATCCAATCCCGACTCATCGGACAAGAGATGAGTAGCAGCACCCTTATCATTTGGAATGTGGACAAAGAGCATGCCGGAATCTACCAGTGTGTGGTGTCCAACTCTGTAGGGACTATCCAGACCAGTGCACGTCTCACCGTGATTCTCCCACGTAAGGCTTTCACCTGCTCATTACCTGTTATAATGTTCTTTGATGAGGATCAATTATAAACTGTGACCGTGTCCAAACTACTTGGCTGGGGCTTGCAATTACATTTGACTCTATGGGAAGTAGCTTCAGCCCCAACCAAAGACTCCTGAGCCATAGCCAAGTTATTGGGACATAACCTGTTACAGGGCACTTCAAGGCCATCAACGTTTTGTAGTCAGCCTGTTGGCTTTGCATGTGTACAGCATGATTTTTCAACGTTCAGGTTTTGATTCCCATGAGTCAGTGTGCCAAAAAAGGTAAAATGGCTTGGCTTCCCATCCAAAGCCATGTCTGAATGACATGGCTGGGGATGGGAATAATGTGTATGCCTATGGGAGCCACTGCCTAGCGGATGTAGCCATTTCGCATAGATACAAGTTTGTGTTATTTCTAGCCACAGCCCAGTAAATTGGACATGGCAAATGTCGGTAGAGCCCGTAAATACATCTGTCAAGTTATATGAAGAAATATGTCCCATGAGTCTATTCCCAAAGAGTCTTGAGGTCCAACAGATTGTGTTTTACTCACAAGTATATTGTTGCTTTCTTCACGATGTGGTCAACTATTGTTGCAATACAACTTGATGAAAGTTTTATGAAGTTAAACATATCCGGTACAACGTTGTTGTAATGAATACCCCTATACTAAACATTTGGGTATCTCCTTTGGCTCCCGAATTTCCTGTGCTCTTTTACCAAACATTACAGATTTGTTTTAAATAAAAGAAATATATTCAGATGAACATGAGCATAATGAACACAACTCAAAAATCTTGGGAGTGCCCATCCTAAATCTTTCTGGAAATGTTGGTTACATCTTAAGCTAACAGTAAACAAAAGTATGCATTTTGCAGGTCAAAGGTCAAAGTTGCACCGTTTTTTTTGTCAGTAAATGAAATATATTTCGATTTTGTTTTATGAATGAATTTCAAGAGCTTAGAAATAATGTAAATTTTATCTCTTGGTGTGTTACTTCAGGAGATATGGCTGTCTAAACAAAGCATGTCAAGTTAATTAGTCAAGAATTCGTTAACTTGTATCTCAAGAACAGATTGACTGATTGACACTAAATTTCAGTTTTGGACATTTCTCAAGGAGTCCAATAAACACACTGAATGTCATTTCAATCTGTGACAGTCTGGTCCAAAAGCGTGTTGAGTTGACACGGAATGACCTGAATGCCAAATATGTAATACTGATAATTAACCTTATATTCCTTTTAAAAGTCTTTTAGGCATGTGCTGTATCCCGTGCGTTTTCTACCTCGATGTCATTTATGTGATCTGTAATTTTTTTGTGTGTGACTTCCAGTGAATATTCCTGATCCACCCTATAACCTTACAACCTACACCGTTGACAGCAGTCAAATCTTGATCACCTGGCAAGCAGATGAAGGACTCTCTCTGTTCTCTTTGCATTACTACATTGAACCAGGTATTTATGGATGGGATTTGACCTTAGTTCATTATAACCTGTTGTGGAGATTGTGAGAAAATGTTAAAATACACTTGACAGCGACTGGAATCCACAACCTGCTGCTTACTGACGTAATTTAAAGTGTGTCTTTGTAAGGCTCAAAAGTGGCGCAACAATTTCTTTACTTACAGAGCATTTGAGGAATCCTTGATTTCATAATCAGAAAACAAAAACATTCAATGGTAAATTTGTTTTCTCTTGTAGATGGGGAAGAGACGCAATTGGTGATGGCAGACGAGCATTCAAATACCCACATCGTAAAAGATCTGCTTCCTTACACCAACTACACGTTCTACATGCGTGCATACACTACAGTAGCCAGTGGTATCTCTGAAAGAGTGCTGGGCCAAACTGCTGAAGGAGGCACGTATAGTTCATGTTCAAATCTGTCTTGTCATGGCACTGCACTTAAATTGTATGAATTGCTATTAGAGAACCAAACTGTTGAAGGGGCATTGTAAGTTTCCATTTTTCTTTCCAAATTTCCCTACCGAGGCTGACCTTTCTTATAGGGCACATGTACTTTGAATTGAGGGAACCAATCCCCCCCCCCAATGAGCATGTGTCAATAAAGGTATTTGTACTCGGCAACTGAAACCATACATTATAAAACCCTTTTTCTTGTGTTTATGCAGAGTTCTATTGTGACCTACCAACCAATTTCTTGTTTTCCCCACTTCACCTGCAGTTCCTGTAATAGCTCCAATGTTTTCCTTGACCAGTAGCCGTGGAAACACAATCTTTGTCAAGTGGGAGCCCATTACCATTGTAGCCCTCATTAGAGGGTGCATCAGCAAGTATCGTGTCTGTTATCAGGAGAGTGGGCTACCCAGGCAATACACCTGTCGAGAGGTAAGGGATGGGATATAAGTGCATTCTGCCTCATTCTTAATCCTTCAAGTACAGAAAGATTCAGGAACATCAATAGTTGAATTTTGGTGGCCAATATTCATCTTTACTGGGACCGTTTTTTTCCCCCTATCAAATTGTGTAGGTGGATGGCTCAGAGAGTAGTTACACTTTACGAGGATTAAAACCAGCAACAGTTTATGATGTGCATATGGCAGTAGCGACCAGCGAGGGATTTGGTCCTGAGTCTGAAGTGCAGTCTATTAGAACCATTGACAATGAAAATTGCTCAGGTAAAACTCCTTCCCTTCCAACTCCACGCTTCCCATCCCCCGTATATTGCTGGTCATTTGTCAAAAAATTTACTTTGTAAAGTTTTATTTGTATGCACTACCTCTAGGTTAATCTGGATATTAGAAGTAGAAGTTATAGATTGTGACAGTGCCACACATTAAATACCTCATCTACTAGGTGGTGGGCGTTGCCAAAATGCACGTCAAATGTTCAAGACGAGGGACATAAAAGTACATATTTTAACAATGCAAACTAACTAGTCTGGCATCTCTGTCATATTGGTTTGGCCTATTACTTGTTCATACTGTCCTATATGTTATTTAAAGCTTCCAGTAGTGAAAAATATTTCCACTTTGGCTTGTTTAATATATTAGAAAGACAACAATTGTTTTGTGTGTTACAGCTTTCATCCCTTGCAAAGATCCAATGCACAGAATGTATAGGTCATCTTAAAGTCAACCATGATCATATTCCTTCTGATGACTGCTAGTGAGTCACTCTCTGACCTGCTCCACTTTCTTTCCTTTTTTTTGTTGTTGAGAATTAGTTTAACTCAAAATGACTCTCGGTAGGCTTTGTGGTCGTAAATGCAATTTTCCTTCCCCGCTAATCTTCAGTTCCAGTCATGTATTCCTTGTCTGCCTCCGTTACCCCAAACGATGTGAGTATTGAGGCGTCTTGGTCACCGCGGAATGAGGGTAATGAAGTTGCTGTGCTGGGTTTCCAGCTTAGCTTCTCTGGGGCCAATCACGATGAAACCTACAGTCTCCCTGCAGACTGCCATAGCTTTGTCTTCTCTGACTTACGTAAGTCCTTCTGCTTGTGTCAGTTGATGCTTCGTGCATCTATTCCTGTTGACATCATTTTACTACAGTCATTGTTTTCTTAAAACTTTTGCCAACAAAGAGTTGCACTTGGATGGTTCCAAGTTAACGCCAGCCTCTTCTGTTCCCATTTACCCGAACCGTTTGTAACAGTCCAGTGCCAAGATATAACATGCCTGAAAACTTACCTGCATTACACCTTAAAACAATTCTTCAATGTTGAACTCATAGTGACAGGTGAGAGGTACACTGTAGAGTTGCTAGCTTACAACGACTGCGGTACTGGGCCAGCCTCCACGGAGACTTTTACCTTGCCATCTGTCACTGGTGAGTCAGGTCTTACTAGCCATCACTCATCAATGATTCATTCATTCAAATACTAAACATGGTCACCAGATGATTTGCAACCTGTACATTTTGTGATGCATCTGAGACAAGAGGGTGAATTTTGATGAATCGTTTTTGCCACCTGTAAAATTTTCAACCCCAGAAATGCTTCAACAATAGTGATGGTAATCTTTCTATATGAAGGAATTTACATTATTAAAAAATTTCAGATTTTTTAAAAAAAAATTTTCATATTTTTTGCTATCTAGGAATGATGTATCCTCCCCCAGAAAATGTAAGAGCTACTGCCTTGTCCTCAACAAGTATCCAGCTAAACTGGGATCCTGTGTTAAGCATCTCCCCAGCTTACTACCAGATCCTTTACTTTCAGAACTCCAACAGGAACGGGACAACTAAGTATCTCTACAGGTTTGGCTTTCCATCTCTTCAGCTGCGCACTTTGCTCACAGCAGTTCTTCAGCTGCGCATTTTGCTCACAGCAGTTTTTACCTTTTATGGTTGAGAGTTCGGTCCACCTTATGTGAACTCCGCTTTGATTTTTTAAAGTGAGATGTCTTATCAAACAATCTTTTGAAATCATATCAGTGAAAGAAAAAGATGTACAGGTGTGTGGTATTAGGGAAACTTGAATCTGGATTATAATAGCAGGAGATGTTATGAATTAAAAGGTCCAAGGCACACAACAAAAGGTTGTTCACAGAAATTAAGGACAGATGGAGTTCTGGAGAAGATGTAACATGATTAGAAAACACAGAAAGGAAGTGTAGATGTTATTTATCAAAGATGTGTGAGTGTGGCATAGATTTAGTTTGTCTTTCTAAACACCTGAATGACTATTAGATATAACATTCAGTTCTTCTTGTTTACTGCTCTAGGACCAACACATACGTTGTATTGAAGGACTTGAAACCATACACCATCTATGCATTGCAAGTGCGTGTCCAGCGAACAGGCGTGATTGGTCAGTTCAGTGACTTGATCTACTGCAGAACTAAAGAAGATGGTAAATATCATTCACAAAGAATCACTTGTAACATTTTTCTACTCTCTGTCTACCCAAAATGGTATAATCCATTCTTGGAAATATCAAGTTCCAGCATCAGCTGAAATAGTTTAGCTACTTAAATCTTTCCTCCATTGATCAGGTGATGCCAGAGAGGTGTTTGTGGCCAGGTGTAACGTTTTTAACTACCCCAATAATTTCAGTATTTTGTTTATTAGTTTGCAAATTTTATAGAGTGCCAAAGTGAATATGTCAAGCACACCATTATGTGTGTAAAAGGCATTAGAAAAATGAACCAACAGGTACCCCATTCTTAAGCACTATGTTTCCTGGTTCTAAATGATGTGGCACTTTAGTATTCTTTAGTAAGGGGCTGATGTCACACTGTGGTATTCTATAGTAGTGGGCTGATGTCACACTTTGGTATTCTATAGTAGTGGGCTGATGTCACACTTAGGTATTCTATAGTAGTGGGCTGACAGGGTTGTAATGGACAAAAGAAACTAAGATTTCTCTTTATCATGATTCTTAGCAAAGACGTTAATTCAAAGTGGTTTATTTTGTGTTGCAGTTCCTTCCGAACCTATTGGTTTCACTGCTGAGCCATTGGATCCCCATACAGTCAGTGTAGCATGGCATCCTCCGTTGAACCCTAATGGGGTGATACAAGGTTACAACATCATGTATGTACCAGAGACTCAGCGTACAGAGAAACAAGAGGAACCTCACTGGAACAGAACTCGAAAGAAAGGTACATTCCCAGCATTTCAATTTACTTAAGATTTTCCAAAGGGAAATATGCCACGTTCTTCCCTTTTTGTGTGCTCTCTCTTCGTTTGTTAGTTTGTTGGGGTGTTTGTATTTTTATTGGCCAGAGAGGGCTTGGAACCTCCCTTGTTACCTTAGTTGGCAGGTTTAGTCAAGTTTCTCCTTCATCGTCCTCAGGTACAGCAACCTCTTCCACTGTATCAAACCTCACCAGTGACACCAGGTATTACTTCTTCCTCCGTGCCTGTACATCTGTAGGTGAAGGCAAACCGTCTGCTGTGTTACAGGTCAAGACACCTGTTAAATTTCTGGATGTCAAAACAGGTCAGTGTTGGTTGGTTTCGCTCACTTGGTGAAAAAATCTAATGTCTCAGTTGCTTTGGTAAGACAGAATTATGTTGGATGGAAATACAGTGGAACGAGACGAGATCGCGCTTACTACAAGCATTTTCTTGAGTTGCATTCAAAAAGTACACATTGTTATAAGAGAAAAGTTAATTAATACAAGCTGAGCTGAGACTAACACGGACAAGACAAGCACTTTTGCCCAACCCAAAGTGTCAAAACCCATTGTCCACAGCATTTTTACAAATACATTTTGAAAATGCCTCTTCAGAAGCTTAATCCCAGTAAATTTTGGGTCCACAAGTTTGATAAAAACTTAACTTACACGCAGCAGTGGGTACCAGTTCACAGGCAAGCTGGTTGCTTCACTGTGTGCGTGGCACACGTGCGCTAACCTTACAGACCTAGTGTGGACATGTGAGCAAAAGATGTCCACACGATGCAGGAAAGGAAGACACTCTGTGGACTTACACATGTCCACAGGAATTTCCCCTTCTCTGAAAAAGAAGTTTAGAGGCATTTTGGGGTAGGGGTCATTTGTCGTAAAAGGAAGAGGAATAGTCAAGGAAACCTTGTACAAAAAGCCAGCTTAAAATGGTGTTCTCAGTTCAAGAAAAACGAGTATTTTCACTGAGTTTTCTTAACTGCACGAAAAGAAAGGAATGTCCACACTAGGTATGTAAGGTAAGTGTGGGTGTGTTGCTCTTTATGGGTGTGTCATCCTGGCAGGCAGGTCCATCCAGGTTGTTTTATTGAAAATACAGGCCTCTTTAAAATCTGATTTATTTAATCAAATCATACTGATGAATACAGTTTAGAAATGTATTAAAACGTTAAAAGGCTGGTTCATCGAACACTAATCCATTACATATACAGTACATCATGTACTGTACGATTTTGTAGTGTTTACTCGTGTATGAGGCCAAGCGTGCTCTCTGTGAATGGGATAAGCATCAACATGTATAACACAAGGTTTACTGTATGACAAGGTTTCTTGGAAAGTCCCTTCGAGCTTGTATTAATCTTGTTCAACTGTGTAATCATAGAAGACTTAGTATAACTGAACTGGCCTTTACATGTGAAGCATTATCACAGCCCTGTTATTTTGTACTTAGTTCAAACTAACCCTACTTTTGGCATTCTAGGAGAACAAACTTTTCAAATCGGGGATTAGATGCTTTAAATATTTAGAAGTGCCAACTATTTTTAATTATTCAACTTAATCGTTTCATTTCAAATTCATGTTATGGAGCTTGAACGACAGGAACAAGAATATTTTTCGTGTTATCTTAACTTGTCTAGCCTTTTTTGTGGGTGCTGTAGATTCCAGCAATAATTCAGGTCTACCCAGTGACACAGAGAAAGGATTGGTCATTGGTATCCTCCTGGGTACTTTTTGCATTGTTCTCTGCACTGTCCTGGCTGGTATCCGATACAGGTAAGCTAACCCTAAAAGGGTGGAGCACCAATTTGGTGAAATATGAACATACCAAATGTTAATTATTCGACTGGCTTATAAATGGTGGTGCAAACTACCAGTGGTCCTAATTCATTCAGGGAAGTAAGTCCTTGTAATTAAAGGCCATTTTAAATTTTTGGCAAGATGTAAATATGTGGGTGCTCATATGTGTCGGAGCTTATCCCGCGTAGCTGAAATGTGAGATATTTTCTGATGTTTAGGGTTTGTCTCCTTACCCATGTTTTTCCTTTAAGGAGATACGACAGTGCTCATAAGAAGAAGATGGCTGCTAGACTGGCTGGTGTTAGTGGCCGCAGTGGTCACCGAATTGCCCTCCCACGTGTTGCCCAAGGCAGTGGTGTTGAGATGGCCCTGACTCCTCTTAGTCCCATGCTGACCGCTGAGGTGCCTACCAGCCAACCTAATGGCCAGGTAAGCCTAATGCTAGGATGCTGGTATATTTTGACTCAAGTAGGTTGCATATCACCCAAAACATGCACAGTCACTGCAGATTTATTAGCCTCATTTGTAGTCGGTGTTGAACATCAGGGAATGTTTAAAATTTGTCTTGTTTACCTGGTAAAAATGAACTATCAGCTGAGATGTTGTTTGTACTGTACAGTGTTAGTTGCTAGTAATTCACAGCTGATGTTTCCTGTAAAGATTGTCTTGGTCAGAGGTTGTTCCATTTATTACACTCGGGTCTGGGCAAGGAGGCAACCCTCCCTTCACTTTGGAGAGGGATTTGCACACTTTCCACATTTTTTTACTGCAATATGATAAAAAAATAATTGAAACTTCTTTGGCATAGTGGGAAAGATACTTGTAGTGCACAAGCAGTGAAATTTTGGGCATATTTCATGTTAAGGTTGAGGCTTAGTCAATAACTCGGATTTTCCCAATAGATGACAACACTATTTGTGCTCCTTTGAGTCCCAAGTGTGAAATATGGAACAGCCACACACTGACCAATCAGAGAGAAGAACCAAGACTCGGTCATGCCATACTGACCGTGAGAATACATTTTTGGAGCAAATATTTTTATCTCTGCAAAGGAAGACAGGTTCCTTCCTTTTATTGTTAGATGATTTGTAGAAATGTAAGCTTCTCTGTGGACGTGGGATTTGGGCCTTTTTAAAAATTTCAGTTTCAAAAGACAGTCTGTGTATGTGTTTGCATCAGTGGTGTTGTCAAGACCAACAGATCAGGTACAAGATCTTTTCACAAGACCAGTCACAAGACCAGCCTCGAGATCAGTTATATGTAACAGGGTAAAGAACAACGAAGGAATTCTGCTCTTGCATTTCACTGGAAGAAAATGTGACTTGAAGTCAGACCCGAGGTCTTATGTTGCTTTTTGGGGTCTTGAGATGGTCTTAGGTCTTGACTTCATCGCTGGTTTGCGTGTGGTCAAATTTCCTGCTAAATTGTCAGAGTTCACGTATATCCCCGAGATCGACTGTCTTATGATATCCTTTTGTCATGGTCTAGGTCCATTGTGATTCTCCTCTGCTTGGTGTTGGTCACCAAGCTGGCTCAGCCAATCCCGTTGAGTTCCCTTCCAGGGAAGATGGGAATGGCCATGAGGATCCTGAATTGCCCCAAATGAGTGAACAAGCACCACTTCAGCAGCAGTACAGACACACTCTGCCCAGCACGTCCAGCGGACGAGTGGCAGGTTCCAGGATGAATCAGGAGACCTCACTGGCAGGATCGGAAGATGGCACTGAATCATCGAACCATTGGACACCGCTCAGGGAGAGTACCAGTGGAGACAGCGGCTTGATTGGAGATATAGAGTTCTCAACAGAGACAAGTCCCGATTTCATTGAGAAGGTCCTGCGAGATCACCACATTGGTATTCACCCAGTGTGAGATGCTGGGAGAAGGATTTGTGGAAAGCCTAGTCAGAACTGGACGTCAGCTTTAGTACAAATATGCTCAGTGGATTGTCACCTCAGGGCACTCTCAAGATACCTCTATATTAAAAACTTCAGAAACTATTAAGTTCTCATTATGATTGGGAATCCAAGGAGATTATGTCATCGTTCATTCATTCATGATAGACTACGACAGATTGAAGATGACATCATCTCTCAGTGGTTTACCATAAAATTAGAGTTCACTGTATGCACTCGAAATGGCTGTGGCCCAAACACTGACTCATTATGGTTTGAGAGTTTACCTACTAATGCATTTATCATATATAATTCTTGAAGTTGTTCGCTGTTGTTTTCTAGTTGGAAGTTACTGGTATCTAGTAGGGACCCTTTTTCTTTGGTATGAGCGGGATTTTGATATGCAGTGGATGGCATTGCTTGACCCAACTGGAAATACTGTGTAGAATCTATTGAATGCAACCACCTTCAACTCAGGGAAACAGATATTTTGGAGGTGGGATTGTGGAGAGTTAGATGAAGTATGTATGATGTTTGCCTTACTGTTGATCCATCTTAAAGGTTGCTTATGAGTGGAGCTGAAGATCACCTCAATCTTCAGTGACCACTTCAGTCTGTCAGACAGTGTCATTCCAAGATGTCGTAAGCAGCTTGGGAGGTGATGTGTCAGAGAGATTGTCAACCAGACCATACAGGCCAGCTTCATTCCAAAATAACCCAGGATGGTCACGGCAAGTACTTGGAGAGTCACTGCTAAATGACCCACGACCATTACCTCATGGTCAAGGTAACACTACTGAGTAAAGTTGGCTCCAACAGGTGCACAGGTCACAATGTGCACCCAATGTTTATTTTACTGGAGAGTTCCCTATGATATGTGGCAAATTCTATCAAAGCCAGTCGTGCGTCGCAATGGAGGAAAACCTTTCAAGTGAGTTTGAGTACTAGAAAGATGACTTATGGCATGCACCTGTCCTTTAGTATTCTGGCTCAACTGGAAGTATGAACACAAGCACTAGAGACTTGTGACTGATCGTGATCGGACAGAGTGACGCCTGATTATGTGGACCCCCATCCCCTCTTAGACGGGTCAAGCATTGTCCTCATGTCAGGGACTGTGTAAATGTATCTACATTATATTATTCAGTTACACTCATATGATGTATATGTGTAGCTTGTTGAATGCTTCAACCTCACGGTATTCTCTTGAATTAGGGAAACTTGCATCCCTGTTGATCTGTCCAGGGTTCGAAAACAAAAAGCAGACCCACTATTTTTCCTGGGCAAATCACCAACACCTCAAACCTTTTTACATACTGAAATTTTACATACCTCAGTGACGTACGTACATGAACCAATAATATGCAGTCACATAGGATAGCAAGTAATGTGTATTTGTTGGAAAATGTGCTCAATGTCGTGTTGGCTGAGGGCTGGGAGTATAACGTCTAAAAAGGAAAAGGCTTTAAATGTCAAGAGATACTTGCACCATTGTTTCCCACCAGTTTTTGAGGTATGTTATGATGGTGAAATCTGTTATTGGAATGTTCAGGAAAGTAAGGAAATCGATTAATTTTCCAGTTTTGGGTCATATGACACACTTTCAAGCATAGTGTGCGTCCTGGGACAGTGGCCCCTAGAAAGAGGAAAAAAATAAAACTTTTCCATTTTTCAGCATGTTACTTTAGTCATTAGAGGTCATTCCATCCACAGATCTGCTTTCAGTGGAAAAAGTAGCATATTTGCTCAAATCAGAAAAAGGATTTGCTCTTCAGAAAGTTGTTGGTTAGGTCTTCTCTTTGTAGCACAGTGATACG